TATACATATTATACATATTATATGCATATAATATGTAGTATGTTTAATTAAAACTTGACCAACTTAATTTATTTAAAAATTTATTCTACAAAACATATTTAGACATTGGATATATTGTTCTCTCAACAGGAATAAAATTAATAGTATTTTTATATGCTTAGGTATGGAGAGATCTGAAAAGTCGTACTTCTGTGAAGGCACGTGATATGAGAAAGGCCAAGGCAATGACAGGAAATAAAAGTATTAAGTCATCTGCAGAATTATCAGAATTGGAACTGCGAGTTGTTGGGATAATCGGTGCAGAATATATTGAAGGAAATAAGGAGTGTGCAGAAAATATTGCAGAAGAAGAGGGTATATATGTAGATATATCTTCTTCTCGAATATTTTTATATTCCAGAAGAACAATTATAAAACATATATATGTTTAAATTGTTTTAATTAATTATAAATACTTTAAATGTAATAATTTTACACTTATAAAACATGTGTGCGTGTGTGTGTGCGTGTGTGTGTGTTCGTGCGTGTACACACATACACACACATATGTTTTATAATTGTTCATTGTAGAATTATTATATGTAAACTATTTATAATTAATTGCAACAATTTAAACAATTAGTCTCCTAATAACGAATGTTATTTAATGAGGTGGGTTATTATGATATATCTATCCATATAATGAAATATATGTATAATTGCCAAATGCATAATATGTGCTCTTTTTTATATTTGTAATCTTTAGAAAATGAAGCAATCCATGGAAATTCGTCAGTATTGATGGATACCGAACAAATAAATGTTTGCAATATCCTTCCGCAAGAAAATTTGCAAAAAGATTATTCGCCAGCTTCACACGGAGATAGAGGTAAACAGTTTTTCTTAGAAATAAATGTTAAAATTAATCAATTTACTGTTTAAATAAAATTATAAGTTATTGTTTTCATTTAAAATAATTATTAATTAATATGAGTAAAAAAATTTCCGAAGACTTAACAACAGGTTAGGTCTTTCGATAGACCATGTATATCCTGAAAAAGTTAGGTCATGATAAATAATTATTTACCTTTATT